GGGGTGCTGGGGACAGGCTGCAGGATGATGCTGGAGGCAGTGCGGGTGCTGGGGACAGTCTCAGGGTGCTGGGGACAGACTCAGGGTGCTTGGGACAGGCCCGGGGTGCTGGGGACAGGCTGCAGGACGGTGCTGGAGGCAGTGCGGGTGCTAGGGACAGACTCAGGGTGCTCAGGACAGACTCAGGGTGCTGGGGACAGGCCCGAGGTGCTGGGAACGGGCTGCAGGACAGTGCTGGAGGCAGTGCGGGTGCTAGGGACAGACTCAGGGTGCTCGGGACAGACTCAGGGTGCTTGGGACAGGCCCAGGGTCCTGGGAATGGGCTGCAGGACAGTGCTGGAGGCAGTGCGGGTGCTGGGGACAGACTCAGGGTGCTGGGGACAGGCCCGAGGTGCTGGGAACGGGCTGCAGGACAGTGCTGGAGGCAGTGCAGGCGCTGGGGACAGGCCCAGGGTGCTGGGGACAGACTCAGRGTGCWKGGGACAGACTCAAGGTGCTGGGGACAGGCCTAGGGTGCAGGGTCCAGGCTGGGCCTGGCGCCAGGCCCGGGTGGGCGCCGGGGCGCTGTGCAGACACCACTCGTGGGCCGCCGGCAGCAGGGCTGGCTCCCCGGTGCCGGCAGGAGCCCCGGCCGCGCTCCTGGGCCGCGCTCCGGCGTGGCRCGGGCAGCCCGGGCCCTGCTGCGGTGCCGGCGCGCCGCGGTGACGCGGCCGCGCTGCGGTGACGGCGCAGGATGCCTCCCAAAGGGAAAGGCAGCGGCAAGGGGGGCAAGGGTGAGYGGGGGGGCTCCGGCAGCGGCGGGGCGGCAGTATCCGCAATGGGACACTGGTGCTGGGGGCGCTGGGGATGGCGGTGCCGTCCACGGGACACACTGGTACCAGGGTGGGGGAGGGTGGCAGCACCATCAATGGGACACTGGTACCGGGGATGGCAGTCCTGCAAATAGGACACAGGTGTGGATCAGGGTGGGCATGGCGGCAACGGGGCACTGGCATCGGGAGTGGTGGGGATGGTGGCACTGGCAATGGGGCACAGGTACTGGGGATGGCGGTACCACCATAGGGCACAGGTACTGGGAGCAGTGGGGACGGTAACATGGCCAGTGGGACAGCGGGGCAAGGCAGGCACCCCCAGGACCTCACTCATGGTGCTGCATTCACAGGTGGCGATGGCGGCAAGGCCGAGGCCAAGGCGCAGGGCCCCAAGGGTGGCGGCAGCGCCGTGAAGGTGAGGCCTGGCCGGGGCGATGGGGACACCGAGCTTTGTGTCCTTCCCGGGGGCAACCCGGCCCCGCTCGCTGCCTTGTTCTCGCCCTCCAGGTGCGGCACATCCTGTGCGAGAAGCACGGCAAAGCCATGGAGGCCATGGAGAAGCTGAAGGCCGGCGTGCGCTTCAGCGAAGTGGCCGCGCAGTACAGCGAGGACAAAGCCCGCCAAGGGGTACATGCGGCTGCCTGCGCGCCTGGCGCTCACCGGGAAACAGCCCCTTTCCAGGGAGACAGCCCCTTCCCAGGGAAACTGCCCCTTCCCAGGGAAACTGCCCCTTCCCAGGGAAACGGCCCCTTCCCAGGGAAACTGCCCCTTCCCAGGGAAACTGCCCCTTCCCAGGGAAACGGCCCCTTCCCAGGGAAACGGCCCCTTCCCAGGGCGTTTCAGCACTGTACCCCCAAGGGACCCTGCTGTCCCTCGGCACCTGCACAGCGTTTGTTTGAGGCCTGTCCCACACAGCATCCTCACATCCCTGCTGCCTCTGCAGCCGGGACAGGGGCAGCCGTAACTGCTGTGCAAATGCACCAGCAGTTGGGCTTGCTCATGTGGGTAGAGCTGGGGTTAGGGCGTCCTGTTCAGATAAGCAGTCTTCATGTGCTTCCGTTAGGATAGTTGTGCATCTCCATCTACTCATCAGCAATTCCTGGTTGGCCAGTTATGAAGGGAAACAGTTCTCGGGGCTGAGGCTGCCCAGCTGTCAGCATCTCCAAGGTCCATSGTCTCCTAATTCAGGCTAGGCTCCCATCACTAGGGCCCGGGGATACCAGATTGAGTATTGCTGTGGGATGACAAAGGGATGACAGAGGAGGAATATTGTGCCTGGAGAGAGGCATTTGATAGAATGGAGAATAGTAGAAGCAAGATGAACATTGTCYCCTTTACACGCACAAAGCCAAGAGAGCAGAAAAGCCCAACTGAAGCATACAGGCCCTACAGCCACCGCGTTAAGAGCAGGGCCTGCCCTGCTTTGGTTCTAGCCAGCCATGACTTTTGAAGAGGAACCACAGTATTCATCCATGCCATYCTCCCCTCTATGAAATGCTACACACTGAGGAGACTGAGACTTCCAAACACTCACTGGAATGCTCCCAATATCTCATAAGATGTCTCCTTCCTGCTAAGGAGACATCTTTAGCAGCTAGACTGTCCAAGCTTAACCTTATTGATTCCTCCTTCCAGGGAGACTTGGGCTGGATGACCAGAGGCTCCATGGTGGGACCTTTCCAGGATGCAGCATTTGCCTTGCCTGTAAGCAGCATGGACAAGCCTGTATATACAGACCCCCCTGTCAAAACAAAGTTTGGGTACCACATTATCATGGTGGAAGGCAAGAAATAAAGTCTGAATGACCATTAAAGTGTTGACTGCTTGAATTCTGTGAGCTTCCCAGGCACCTTGACCTTGCAGCAGAGCAATCATAACCAGTAGCACATTTTGAAATGGCTAATCGTGTCATTATGGCAAGAGGCAGAACAGAGGCAGCACAGAACAAAGCCATACACAGGGGCAGAGCCCTCCTTGAAAAGGTCAGGCAATAGTTTTCAACATTTGAAGATTTCAGTCTTGCTGCCTCGTTCTTGCTGTTGCAAAGAGGATAAGTTATCCGCCTAGATAAAAAAAAAAAAAAAAAAAATACTCAGGTTTTTGGCTTTGGTAAATTTAAGATAATGCTCCAGCTAGGACTACTGGTCCCTGCCTTGGGCAGACTTGTCGGGGTACCCAGGATATTGAAGGGGTGCCCAGGGTTACAAAGTAGAAGCATGGGATAAATAACCCAACACTGCGGGCACCATGGCTATGATCATAGCTGGAGAAGGGTGGGTAGGTAGAAGAGGAGACACATCTATTGCTATATAGAAAAGTCTTTTCCAAGATTAAATACAAGAAAAAAAAAGAAAAAAGAGCGAGAGACTGAAACCAGTGCAGGTCTTTTCTCCTACCCCAATAAGTCACATGGTGGTTTTGTTTGAAGAACTGCACATTTGCAGAGGCCAACCACTAGTTTGTAAGGCTCTGTGTTTGTTAGTATTTAAGACGGTTAGACAATTATTGTGCTATCACAAGCTGGAATTGGTTACAATTTTGAGTTTCCCCGGGCCAAGTAACATCAACCCACTTCATAGTTCCATTGAGCCTGGGACAATATTTCTCTACCACAGCTACATCGCATGTAGGAGCAGCACTGGAGAACTTCCTTGCCAGAGGAAAAGCAACTCAAAATTGTGGAAGCCAACTTTCCCCCTACCCATCTCCTCCTGCCATCTCCATTACAAGAACAGGCTTGAATTTTACTCCAGAGGGATGGGTTTGGATGGGTACAAGACCAAATTCTAGACTCCTTTGACATCCTTTGCTCCTCCGGCAATACAAAAAGGTCCAGCATGTTCTTACCTTGCATCTGTCAAGGTTCAACTGCTATTCCAGTCATTCTGTAGCCACGCTGCAGCTATAGTCTAGCAGGGATTCGAGTAGAAGGGCTTCTGCAATGCCACATTTAGTGTCAGACCTGAGCAAGGCAGCTGACGTGCCTCCATCACTTGGAGGATGCATAGCTGCAAACTTCTTGTAGCAAGTAAGAGTGTTACGTGCCAAAAGAAGCTGCTATGAAAATGCATTCTCAGACCAACTRAAATTAAGGCTACAGTAGCTCTGGGAAGAGCAGTAGCTCTGGAAAGAGTTACAGCTGCCTAAATGCAGGGTGCATTAAGCTGCTGTGGAACCACATCTGAAGACTCATTGAGCATGAAGCCAAAGCTGCAAGCTTGGAGAAACACTGAGACATAGAAGAAATGTTTTATTGAACAAACAGGAATATGAAGTGTTTTTATCTTCGTGAACCAAATCCACTGTGAAATCCCATCCCSAGCTAAAGAGTAAGGACAGACTACCCAATTCTCACAGTGCTTCCTCACAGAGGAAGAAACGCTGACATTGTACACTCACCACAATTGCAAGTTCCATAACATGAAAGAAGAAACTTCTAAGGCAGCTGTCAGTCTCAAGCTAGTTTAAACCAGTGATACAGTTTAGACATACATATAAAAGCATACAAACAGACACATTTCATCTCTGGGCTAGCTGTCTATACAAGTTTAAGGTCACAAGCATAAYTTCAGGATCTCCGTTCTTTATGTCTAGAGCTTGCAGAAAACAGTTCAGTGCCTCCTGTAGTYTTCCCTCATCCTTCAGTTTCTTCCCACAATCTATTAAGGTGTTATAATTATCTAAGGCAGAAGAGGAACTCCGACCAGTGTCTTTCTGGGAGACACTTTCCTGGGAGAAGAAATCTATCTGCTCACCAGACTGAAGTTCAGCATCACCAGTGGATTCATCCTGAGATGACTCTGTCTCACTCGCTTCAGACTGTTCAGAGTGGGTGCAACCTAGACGGAAGGATTCTCCACCTGTATCAAGTGTTTCTCCAGCTGGTTCTTCTTCACTTTCAGCAGATTCCCCGCTACACTCTTCAGCTTCTTCTTCTATAATGTCATCTTGATCTTCAGCATCTTCTTCTTCATCAGTAGTTCCTTCCTCATCAGTAGCTCCCATAATTTCTCCAATATCTTCAACCTGGTCCACCACCATGTTGATTATAGATCTTCTGGAAGCTGTAGACCTGTTCCCACTATTAATTATCTGGGGAGAAAAGACAGCTTTTGCTATACTTTTGTCATATTTAGGTGTGGACGCATTGATTCCTTCCAAAAATTGATGTGGAGGGCTGCTCAAGCAAGAGGACCTCTCATCAGACTTGCTTTCCTTCAAGATCACAAGGGACTGGTTTTCATCCTCACTGTCAGAAGCAATTCTCTGTATGCACTTCTTTCTACTAAAAGTGAGGACACTACTGCTTTCCGCTGAGTTTTCACCCCCTTGCAGGGAGTTATTCACATATTCTTCAGGTGTGTGACAGGAGTTTCCAAAGCTACTGTTCTCACGTGCCCAGCTTTTCTTTGGAGATTTACAGTCTCTTTCTGCTTTTTCTTGAAACTCTGCCTCTTCTGGATTCTCCAGTGATTGGTCCCCACTTGAGATATCTTGCCATCCATCTTCAGATTCTTCCAAGACAAGATTGAAGTCCACTTGATCCTGGAGAGAGGACACAGACACAGCCTCCAAGCTGGCATGAGAGTTCTGGATCCTAGCATGGGCTTCTGGGACAACGTTTGACAATCTCGACACCACAGAAGCCAAGTGTAGCTCAGGAACAGAATTCCCATCTGTCCCCAAGCCAGCAAGTGGTTCAGGTACCTGATCCAATGGTTCTGCAGTCTCAGGACCATCCGTCACACCAGATTTGTTACAGGAGAGCCGAGACTGATCAGTCAGGTCATTCCCTGCTTCAGTCAAGCTTTTTGAATTTACAAGAGAAGCAGGAGAAGGCTGTTTCTGTTCAAGACTCAGACTCTCCCTGTCAAGTGGGTGAAGCCCAGAGGATGACARCCTAATGCTCGATCCAAGGTTTTCCTCATGCTCTTCTATATTGGATTCTTTCACTATCTCACTGCCAGTATCCATACCGGACACATCTTGTGCCAGTTCCTCTTCACCTACATCATCAATAACCAGATTTGTTATTTTAGAGCTGACATTAGCTATTTGGACTTCCTCATTCTCTGTAAGATCTATAGTTTCGCTTTCAACTCTAGCAACCACTGGTGGTGAGACAAAGTTATTGATGCTGTTCAATCCTGGAGACTTCTTCTTTGGCTGGGAAGATGGTTCTGGTGCTCCTGGCCACGACCCATCAGAAGCATTTCTGATCCTCTCCATCCTCTGGTCTCTAAGCTGAGACTCTAACTGAACTAGCTCATGGGCTTTCTGTACCCTCTGCTGAATGTACTGATGGGCTTCTTCGCTCTCAGCCTGCTCCTCCTGAGTTATTTCCCTTGTATAGATTAAGTCATGATCTGAAATACCAAACATTTCCAGAGAGTGCAAATAAGCGATGTGCTCATCCAGCTGCACATCAGTCTTACGTTGGGTGGCATGTAGTGACTGCAGCTGGATCTGAGTTGCAGATGTTCGAGTATCTTCTAGTATGAAAAGCTCTCTTAGTTCCTGTTTGGAAAAATACCTGAATGGGTTCTTTTTATCACCTGTACTCTGTCTTATTAAGGAATCCTTGAATACTTGGCGCYTATATATTTTCTCCTCCACGGTGCCACAAGTGATCAGTCTATAAATTACTACATTTTCTTTTTGCCCAATCCTATAAGCTCTGTCCACAGCCTGGGCATCTGTGGCTGGATTCCAGCTGGGATCAAAGATCACCACCCTGCTGGCTGCTGTTAGGGTTATACCAACGCCACCAACTTGGGTGGTGAGCAGGAAGACAGAGTAGTCCTTGTCATTCTGAAAGGCATTAATGCGCTTCTCCCGCTCCACTAAGTGGGTTACTGTCCCATCAATGCGCATGATCTTAAACTGCCTGCGGGACAAAACGTGCTCTATGATATCGAGCATCTTCCTTGACTGTGAGAACACCAGCGTCTGGTGCCCCTCATCCCTCAGCCTTTCTAGAAGCCCTACAAGGAACTGCATTTTCCCAGACTCCTGGATGACGGTCTCTTCAGGGAGGTGACCGATTTGGTTAGCTCCTGAAAACAAACCTGTTTCACTCCTGTAATCCTGCTCATAGTTTTCATGCCCTTCTAAACCTAGCTGGATACACGCTCTTGCAGGCAGAAGCCTAGGGTGGTCGCACAGCTTCTTCAAGACCGTCAGCTCCGCTAATGGTGACCGGGTCGTCATCAACACTTCTTTCAAATGATCTAAAGCGAGGAAGTTCCTGTAGATCTCCTCTTGTATTGGCGCTAAGTACACCCACACAACAAAGTCATTTTTCCTAGTAAGAGAGGGCATAACAGGAGCACTATTCTCACTTAGATCCGTAGGGAGAGYGGCATCCACTCTGTCAGCACTACCTATATTTTTTATATCTTCCTTAGTTCTTCGGAGGAAATACGGCTTTATGATGGTCATCAGGTTCTCAGAGATCTTCAGTCCCAGGGCTTTCTCTCCTAGAGTGGCGTCCTTCTCCCTCGCCCTAGTAATAGGATTCTCATACTCCATTTTGAAGGTCTTGGCTGTTCCCAGGAGGGAGCCCTGGCATGCGAAGTCGAACAAGGACCACATTTCCCGCAGGTTGTTCTGCACGGGGGTGCCCGTGAGGAGGAGGCGGTGTCGCGCGGGAATGGCRTACACGCACTTGGTCGTCTTGTTCGACGGGCACTTGATCTTATGCGCCTCGTCGAGGATGATGTAGTCCCAGAYGAACTCCTCGCCGTGGCTGCTGGCCAGCTGCTGCCAGTTGTTGATGAGCATCTGGTAGCTGGTGATGATGATGCCGTTCTTCCTCTGCACCCGCTCCAGGTTCCTGGTGCGCTCCGTCTTGCTGGTGCCGTGGAACTCGCGCACGCGCAGCCCAGGGGTCCAGCGGGCGAACTCGGCCAGCCAGCTGCTCACCAGCGTGGTGGGCATGATGAGCAGCACGTGCCGGACCAGCTCGGCGTCGAACATCCCCGAGAGGAAGGCGATGATCTGCACGGTCTTGCCCAAGCCCATGTCGTCGGCCAGGATGCCGCCGGGCCTGCCGTCCCGGTGCAGGCGGTAGAGGAAGGCGACGCCTTCGCGCTGGTGCTGGAAGAGCTTCTCGTGCATCTCGCCGTAGAGCAGCAGGCCGCTGCCGCACACGTCCACGAAGCCTTCCTCCTCCTCGCCGCCGCCGTCCTCCTCCTCGTGCGCCGCCGCCTCGGCCAGCGCGGCCTCCACGCGCCGCACGCGGCCCAGCAGCTTCTCGCTGGGCCGGATGGCGGCCGCCAGGCGCAGGAGCCGCAGCGCCTCCCGCAGCTCCCCGCCGCCCACGGCCGCCTTGGCCGCGCTCACCAGCCTGCGGGGCGGCGCGGGGCACCGGCTGCGGCCCCGCCGGCACCGGGGACCGGC